TGTGTGTGTGTGGACATGTGCACGCGTGTATATCTTGTTCTTTAGACTTACTTGATATTCTTAAAAAGCTGCATAAACGATTCATAGCTGCATATAGCATTGTGTTTTCTACAAAACGACTGTCAGGAAATTCCTGGATCGTTTACCTGTTGCGTAACCACTTGGAGGAAAATGTGAGGCAGCATTGTGGAATCAGGCTCTCGTCAAAATAATCAAAGTGAAGAAATAAGCATTTTCCCACAGGTTTGTGAATTTTTATCAAATTTTTGGTTTTTGACTCAACACCTTTCATGACCATTATAGAACTAATTTCTGTGGAAATTTTTCTGAAAAACGTTGATTAAAAGCACAAAAAAGTAGATTTTCAGTTACCACGGACTCTTAAGCTAAGGAAATAACTTATTTTTGGCGGCCATTTTCTCACTAATTTTACCTCTGAAAACAGGTGACCTATACCTCCTTCTTTCGCAAATATCTCGACTTGTATTCAAGAGAAATGGATATTTTTTTCATCAAAATAAAGACAAGTGAACAAGTTTAAGATGATACCAATAACTCTACATGTCCAAAAATTGTCGAGAGCCAGATTCCACCGCGCTGCCTCACAAATGTACTATAGTGCGGTCAAAAATTCGTGGCGCAATTTAGTGTCAAATATCTCCTCAACTATCGAACAAAAACTCTCCAGCTTTTGCTTAGTGACTTGTATCTATTTGTCTTAACAGATCAATAATTTTGTAAAGACCTGTAGTCTCTATTCTAGAAAATTCCCTAATAAATATTAATAAAAATTCCTAGTGGGTAGTATCTACTGATTTTAAAAGGTTTACAGCTTGGACGATATCGCTTTTAAAAGTCCGTCATTTTGTTCTCATCGCGAGGTTATCTTTATTGAACGCATGTTCTGAAAACTTTTAGTGCAAAAAAAGTACTCACTATAAATATAAAATTAATTTCTTGTAAATAGATCTAGATTTAGTTTTGCCACTAAAAAAATGTCATTGGTGAGCTGTGACTTATCCCAAATGCGTATACAAAACGTGTGTGAGAAGCGGGAAGTGCTGTGAACAATTCTATTTTCCACGTGAAGGAGGTTTGTACCATTTTATATAAATTTATGTAGAAAGGTTTTCTAGTCTAGCCTCAAATGTTGTGGAAAAATATGATTAAGGTAAGACAAATTGAGACAAACTGCTGTGCAAAGTATGGGTGACATTGATTCACCCGTTTTAAAGGTATTAAGTTGCACCACAAATTTTTGATTGCACTGTAGTCAAACATGTGTATAGATTGTTAGACATCTCTGTCGTGGTTTTATATTGGTTATAGCAGTTTATGCGCTCTTTCTAAACATTTTTCTGTTCGAATTCTTCCTGGTGTATGCATACACTTAAAGGGGAGGCAGGAAGATATTAGCAAAATGGAGATAGATAGATAGATAGATAGATAGATAGATAGATAGATAGATAGATAGATAGATAGATAGATAGATAGATAGATAGATAGATGGATGGATGGATG